TCCTATTTCTGTGATACCTGTCGAGTTCACTGTTCGCAACAACCACTTTACGCATATTAAACTGTTTCGAAAGGAGCACTTTGCGGGCAGGTATCACAAAAAATAAATTTTCATCGCTTGTGCGTGAAGGGAAATTTTACGCACATTCCGCGTGCTTAAAATTCTACTTTCTATACATTGTGATAAAAAATAGGGTTCGACACCCGAAGGAAAAATTTTCTTTGCCCCGTAGAAAGGTAGTGCTACACACCTCCCCCGGGTAAAATGTAGCTAGGTTCGTCGCAAGACCGAAAAGTTGTTGTCGGTCCAGTGACGAACATAATTTTTCTTCACCGCGTCCGTAAACGGCGTTTTGCGGACACAAAGTGCATAAAACACTGCGCTTTATGCATTCGAAATTCACTTTATGCACGCCATGCGGGAAACAACTGCTTTACGCACATTAAACCGTTTCAAAAAGAGCACTTTTGAGGCAGGTATCACAAAAAACACTTTTATGCACTCATATCGAAATATACTATTGTGGATTGACTTGAAAGTATCCCAGAAGATACTAGCTGCAAACAAAAATGTCAAACGATTTTTTCATGACTTTGATGCCCCACACAAATAGCGTTTGACCTTCCTCTCTAATCCCAGTTTCCTACATTCCAAAGATATTCATAAAATAGTATATTTTGATACGAGTACGTAAAATTTGTTTTTTGACCCGTGAGAGGTGTCTAGGGCTACCCTCCCAAGGGTCAAAGAACACTTTTCCCATGGCTGCCAAATCCTATTTTTCATCTCAATGTGTAAAATTTCACTTTACGCACAAGTAATGAAAATATCTGTATAAATTCCTCTCCATTTCTCAAAAATGATTTTTCTTCCAAGATTGATTTAAAAATATTTCAGAAGTGACTAGGCTCAACGGGAAATGCCAAGAGCCTTTTTTTGTTCGAAGATATGTTTTCTTCAATCAATGATTGTTGGACATACTTTCAAAATATTATAATCTGTTGGGGTTTCATCAACTTCACGACAGAATTGTGTTCATCGAGGAATAAAATTCTACACAATTTGTCCAATTGACCTCGTTTGCTAATTGTCTTCATTGTGTATCAAAGCAAGTATTCAATGATAGAATATTTTTTAAGTGATAAATTTTGGATAATCATGACAATGTTATAATGACTTGATAAGTGCTGGATAGAATACCAATTTCTTTCATAAATTCGTTATTTAGTCTACTGTACCTACATCCGCCTGTAGCTGTCGTATGACTTTCATTGTTTCGAGCCCAAGTCGTTGCGACTTCATATAAATACCAATTACACATGTAAAGGGGGAATTAACGCTTTAAACTGAGCATCAAGAGGGAGTAGCAAATATAATAGTCCAATTCCTCAAATCTCAATTATTAAAAATTCAATTATCTCGATGATGAGTGACTCTGGAGAAAAAATAAAAAACATAGGGGAGGGTGGGGTAAAATGAACACTTTAGACTTTCTTAAAATTATTCATAACTCAGAAACAAATTTATCAATTGAGCTCAGTTTAGGCTCGTCACAAAGGGAAAGAATTGTTCTTTGTATTAAAAACAAGTTATTAAATTTCATCGACATTTCAACCCCTCATTAACATTTAAAAAAAAGTCAAAAGTGTCCGTTTTACCCCAACCTCCTCTAATGTCAATAATTGTCTTTTAAGAAACTTTTTTTTTATATTTTATCCTAAAATCACTCAGTACTGGGATAATTAGCTCGTCAATTCAGTAGTAAAGTCATAAAATCGTAATTTTTCCAGTGGAATTTCATTTTTAACAATTACAATTGGAATTATCTTACTGATGAATGAGTTTGGGAGGAAATGGCAAAAGACATTTTTGTAGATGAGTCTAATGACATTTTCTCCTCAAACGATGCATCATAAAGACAAATCCAATCCAAAGAATTGCAAAAATTCACGTTTTACATTTTATCGTTCACTAGGGAATTGAGACGTTTCTCATCAACTTTTTGCTCTTCACATTTGATCTTTCGTAAAAGGGGCAACAAACCATAACAAATGGTAACATCAAAGAGTCAATACGAAGGCAGAGGTTCCACGTATTCACGTATTTTCCCAATCCTTTGGGTTTTCAGGTTTCTCAAACAACGAGAGATTGCTCTGGGGACAAATCTACTGATAATAATTCTGGGAGCTACTGGAGGGCAAGTATTATTGACAGATCCTACTAGCATCCGGTTATACCTACTCAGATCAACTTCAAGAGTACATGATGCTACTACTCAATTTTACTGAGAAAAAAAAGGAAATTGAATTTTTAGAAATTTCCGCTAGAGAAAAAAACATGAGGTTTGCAAAAAAAGTGATGAATTTTTTGAAGGATCTTCTTGATTTTGGAAATATCGGAACATGATTTTTTTCAAGATGAAAAATATGGAATTTTTGAAATTTTTTTAATCCCAAAAACTCTTGGAATTTTTTTTCTCAGTATTTTTCAATTGGAGTGATTCTACACTGCAATAGTCGTACAATATTGCATCAATTGGTATTACCACAGGTCGTTGCTACATTACGATAACTCGTGGCGGATAGGCATCAAAATTTGCAAGGGGATTACTAATTACGTGGAGTTGATGCAGTTGAGAAGTAAAAGAAGATGAGTCCAAAACTTTCTCATGATTTCGTGAAAATCGTCGAAGGAAAGAGGTTTAGCCAAATTTATGAAAAGACATTTTTGTCTGAACCTTTTACCTCTTGTTTCCTAAAATTTCGCGACTTTTGAGGTTTTCTACATTAGAAGACCTTCCCAACAAAAATTTGAAAGGTCTATACTGTTCAAATTTAAAATAATTTAAAGAAAATTTTCTGTTGCAAAAAATCCGATTTAGTTAAAAACATTTTTTATAGATTCTGAAATTGCTTTAAATGTCTTTTGATTTTTTTCTTTGAACTTCTTTCTCTCAGAAATATTTACAAATAAGTTGTCAATTTTTTAGGCTTAGCGAAAAATATTGAAAGAATTTTTTTGTGGATAATGAAGTTTTCTGCAAAAAATGTCTTGATAATATCATCTAATAGTTGAAAAAATATTTACGAAATATCGAAATCCATTTTTCTAAACCCAGTAATCTACGAAATATTTTTCCAAAGTATCTCTTAAAAATCAATTTTGGAATTGAATTGAGATGAGGCAATTCTGGCGAATATCTTTGAAACCACTAGTTTTAGATAAAAATATCATTAAAACTTTTTGCAGATCATAAATTTTTCTACAAAAAATTACTTCTGATCTTTTCCTTTCGACCTCCTCGAGATATTTGCAAAATAATCTAACCGTGTTCTTTACTTCTTTTCAGTTTTTAAAAAAGAAGAATTCATGAAAATTGCCTAACAAATTTTTTTTTTACTTTTCATCAAATTTTCTGATTATGGCATGACCAAAAATGTGTTTTGATATTATCCTCTAAACCTAGTAATCTTCGAAATATTTGAAAAGTATCTCTTAAAAATAAATTTTAGAACTGAATTCGTATGAGGTCATTTTTACGAATATCTCTGAAACAACTAGTTTTACATAAAAATATCATGTGAGCTCTTTATAGATCGTAAAATTTCCTACAAAAATGTCTTGTCACATTTTCGTCTAAACCTATCAGTTTAAGAGATATCCGCGAACTAATCAATGAAAAATTAATTTTCAGAAAAATTTTGGAGTGAAACAACTTCATACAGACTATTTTACAAACTCCTTCGAAACTATTAGACTTGACAACAATGTCAGGAGACATTCCTCTCAAAATACGCTACTAATTTCCGATATATTCACGAAATCATGTGAAACTAATCTTCAGTTCTCCACAACCTCACAACAGAACTACTTCTCCTCTGCGTTTGGGGTCTAGGCAATATTTCACTCGGATGGATCATGTTACTGAACTACTTTCGTGGAAGTTAACTAAGATCTACGGTTTTTCTACATTGCTATAATGAATTTTGCGACGGCAGACAAGCAGGAGAATGGATGGTAAAAGTTGTGACGTGATACTCTTTTTCGCAATTTCACACCGGTGATTATCGTGATGATTCTATTTACGTTCTATTAATGGTTGTCTACTTAATTGATCTAGGATTAGATGTAATTGAGGAGAAATTCTTCGGTATTCAGTGGTGATGGTCAATTAGTGATCCCCAAGAAAGCTCTCAGTAATTAGTAATTGAATATAAAAATTCATTACGTATACACGAGTCAAATTTTCACGTTTTTTCTTATTGAATATCGATTTATCTTGTTAACGAATCGTTTGTGAGAAAAATGTCATAAAACATTTCTTCAGAGAATTTAATTTCCTATAAAAAATGTCTAGTGAAATTTTCGTCTATAACTCAAAGTTTCTGAGATAAATGAACAAACATCTTTGCGAAAATGTGCCTTTTTTCCGTTTCGAAAAAGTCACAAGATTAGATTGCAAATATCTCAGAATCTATTGATTTGAGAAAAAATTATCGTAAATCATTTTTTGTTGAAAATTTTCTCAGCTACAAAAAATGTTTTATGAAATTTTTTTTTCAACTTAATAGTTCCAGAGATATTTGCGACAATGTTCTTCATGATTTTTGTTTTGGATCGGAAAAAAGTGAACCGACTATTTCGCCAACATCTCGGAAACGAAGTGATTTCGAGAAAAATGTCATAAGATATATTTTTTAGAGAATTTAAGTTCCTACAAAAACGTTATGTGTTATTTTCCTCTGAAATCAATAGTTCTTAAGATAAATCGACAGAAAGAAAATGAAAATTGACGTATCCTCAATTCTATTTCCATCGATCATAATAAATTAGCTTGAGAGGAATTTATTGCTTGTTCTAACTGAATGATCTCTCTCTTGAGAGACCACCGATGTAAATCATCATGCGACATAGGGAATTTCAAAGAGTAATTCGGATAATGTGCGGGTAAGTGGGTGTAGCAGGGGTAGCCAGTAATAATTCAGTGGGTTATCTCCTACCTTTGACGTCGTCGTCCTCGATTGTGGTGCTGCTGTCGGTAGACTCCTTCACCTGAGAGCCGTCACCCTTCTTCGTGATGATGCTTCGAGCTGGAGTACGCAAATGCATAGGATCAATGACAACTATCATGAATATTCTTTTCTTAATGTGTGAAAGGGGATATTAATAGGGCGTAAACGATACGGGGGTTCAGTATTTTAATTAATCATCGAAATTAATAGCTCAGGATGATCATCATCATTATAAGTCAATGATTTTTGATGATTTTATTGGATTTTATCACAAGAATTCCAGTTTTTGGCAATTTTTTTTGGACAAAAGGAAATGATTTCATGTTTTGATAATTATCTTGATAACGAGTAGGTTTAGAAAGAAATGCCGTATAAAATTTTTGTAGCAAATTTAATTCTCTATAATTAATGTTTTATAATATTTTTCGATATTTCCACTCGTTCTCGAGATAACTGAAGACTAACTGAAAGAGTTTTCATCATGTTCAGAAGAACGAATCAGAATTGTTTTAGCTGTTCGTGATTATCTCGCTAATGAGTCATTTTAGAAAAAAATGTCATAAGAAGTTTCTATAGGAAATTTTATTCTCTATAAAAAATGTTCAATGATATTTTCTCGTAGACACAGTAATTCCAGAGATAATCATGAAATTCTGAAAACAGTCCAATCTTTTCACTTGAAAAAATTGATAAATTCATGGAGCAATTATTGCATTACCTGAACAACAAGTGGAGATACAAAAAAATCTAAAAATGTATTATTGTAGAGGAATAAATTACCTGCAAAAATATCTCTAGATAAATCAAAAAATACAAAAAATTTCCCTTTTACTCAAATTTTATGACTCAAGAATTTTATTTTTTTATTCTCTCGTTTCTCCAGTAATGAAAAAAATTGGTCAACATAGAATTCCCCCAGAATGAATCCAATAAAGATTAAGTGCTACTAACGATTTAAGCACAAGCCTAATAATTCAAGGCTTTATTTTACTCCTGCCTAAGGTGAAAAAATACTGAGGTAGAGCGCCTCGGGTCATAACCGGAAGTCATAGCTGTGGCAGTTTCAGTTTCCGGTAGTTGTAAAAAATGTCGAATGGTTATGGGGGATGTAACAGTCGGGGATATCTAATATATGAACCCTTAAATCGTCGTAAATTTAAATAATTTTTAATTCCACGAATTTTTGTCTACGAGTTGTCGTCAAGTTCTCGCCAATTGTCAGTCGTTAAAATTATGAAGATGAACTAATTATTTGTGATTAAATATCTTCGTGATGATAGGGATGATCAAATTATTTTTTACTTTTAGGGATATGATTATTTTTGTGTTATCAAGGGTGATATGATGAGATATAAAATATGAATTGCGGCAAAATGGAATTTAAGCGCAATTCAGGAAATTTTTTCTTTGTTTTTAGAGGGGTGTAGAGGCAAAGAGTCTAACGGGAGAGCAAGAGAGGTTTTCGGATTGTTTCGGTCAACTCTTCTGCTTGCCTTTTCCGGTAGCTCTAACCAACTCTCCCGTTTGACCTTTGAGAGCGTTTGACCCTTCTGATTACTCGAACTTTCTCTCCCGAAGGGTCAAACGATTTTGAGGGTCAAACGGAAGAGACGTGCGAAGTTCTCGTGTGGGCCAAACGTTCTCAAGAGTCAAACGGGAGAGACGGACGGAGTTAATAAAAAGGGTCCAATAATCATAAGGGTCAAACGGTAAGAAAGGGCAAAACAATGAGAAAACCTCTTGCTTTTTGGTTTGACCTTTCTGATCGTTCTTTTGACATCACCTGTTGGAGACCGTTGATAACTCCGCTCGTCTCTCCCGTTTGATCCATAAAAACGTTTGATCCTTTTGGTTACCTTACCCGTCTTTTCCCCTTGACGATCGAGAATATTTGCCCTCCGGATTACTCCAACTTTCTCCTCAAGGATCAAATGGAAGAGACGGGCGGAGTTATCGTGTGGGTCAAACGTCCTTAAGAGTCAAACGGGAGAGACCGATGAAGTTAATAAAAAGGATCAAATAATCATAAGGGAGAAAAGGGCAAAACAATCCGAAAGTCTCTTGCTTTTCCATTTGACCTTTCTGATCGTTCCTTTCATATCACCCATTTGAGCCTTTTGACAGCTTCGCCTGTGTCGCCCGTTTGACCCATAAGAACATTTGACTCTTCTGGTAACTCCACACGTGTCTCCCCTTTGTCGATCGAGAATAGTTTCCCTTCGGATCACTCCATCTGACTCTCCCGAAGGGTCAAACGATTTTGAGGGTCAAATAGAAGAGACGGGCGGAGCTATCAGATGGGTCAAACGTTTTTAAGAGTCAAACGAAAGAGACTTTTATTATTTTTGTATGAGAAATAGGAGTTAAGGGTCGAACAGGGGAGATGGAAAAGACGAGCGGGGTTATCAGAGGGTTATTGGGGCTAACCAATCATAAGGGTCAAACGGAAGAAAAGGGCAAAACAATTGCAGTCTTTTGCTCTTCCGTTTGACCTTTCTGATAGCCCTCTCTCATCTTTCGTTCATCCCTTTGGATAACTCCGCGCATTTCTCCCGTTTGACCCATAAGGACGTTTAATGCTTAAAAGGGATGGGTAGACTCATCAGAAGGTCACACATTCTTAAGACTCGAACCGGAGAGACGGGCGGAGTTATCAAAATGGCGCAAAATCATATGGATCAACTGGAAAAATTGAACGAAACACCCAGATGGAATTCTGATTATTCTGTTCGCACCCTCCGTTTGGCCCTTATTAGTTGACCCTTCAGATAAATCCACTCGTCTCTTCCGTCTCTTCCGTTTGACCCTTCACCCCTACTGCTCCCATAGAGACGAAAGAAAGTTTCTCGAATTGCTAGTGTTCAATTTTAAAAAAGGATTAACTCGTTAACAAGTAGATCCAAAAGAAAATGTCATTTAATATTTTTTGTTGGAAATTTCATTCCTTACAAAAAAAAGTGTAATTACATTTTCTCCTAAAACCAACCATTACGGAGATAATCGGAAAATTTAAACGTGAAAATATTAATTTAATATTCAATTATTCCATTTGCCCTCAGAATTTTACTTCTCATCAAATAATCAAGGTGAAGATGATTTAATACAAAGAAAAAATTATCAAGTGTTATTAATGCTACATTATAATTGTAAAAAACTTAAATAACTTCGGGATGACGAGGAAAAAATTGATGAAAAGGTAATTGGTAGAATAATAAGAACGGATAATTATCTTTCACTAATCTAGATGGGAGTTTCATGATTACGGGCTCATCCGACATGCATAGAGAGATCAATCATGAGATAAGTGGAACGAGAAGTCTGAAAGCTCGAGCGCTATTTCTTAATTCAGTAGTGAAGTGGGAATACCAGACAACTCTATCCACTTCGAGATCACTATTTCCTGAATATCTTGAAAACCAAGAGAGATAGTGATATTATTATTTGAACTTTTTTTATAGCCCTGCTCCCGCTCTATAAGAAAAGTTTGAATGATAACTTTGATATTTCTCCGAGGAGAAGTACGCACGAAAAAAAGTAATTAAAAAACTTCGTATATTCGCTAGCAAATTTTATTAGATTTCTATTGAACTTCTATTGAAAATTCTATTAGTTTTTTACGAATTTTATTGAAAATTTCTGCAGGTTCACTGGACTTTTGTCTGTAGAAAGTAAAAGTTTATATTCTATGCAGACATTTTCAATAGGAATTCCTCGACATAAATTCTGCAAGTTTTTTCATCACTTGTGCGGAAAGTAGGATTCTGCGCACATTCCGTAAATTAAAAAAAATAGGATTCAACACTAGTGGGGGGAAGTGTTTTTTGACCCTTGGGAGAGTAGCACTCGACGAGCGCTATACACCTCCTGCGGGTCAAAAAACACTTTTACGCACTCGTATCAAAATATATTAAATCCCAATAATAATATATTTCGATACGCGTCCGTAAAAGTGTTTTTTGCCCCGTGGGAGGTTTGCAGCGCTCGCCGAAGGCGAGTGCTACCCTCCCAATGGTCAAAGAGCACTTTTCCCACGAGTATCGAACCTTATTTTCCATTATAATGTGCGGAAACTCTGATTCGGAGAGATGCAAACCGGTGCGTCGGTCTGAATCAAGTCGATTTTTCTACTTGAGTCAGGTCGACTTCGGCTTGATTCTAGTCGATTTTCGGTTTGATTCAAGTCAAATGACTAGGCCTCCATCACTACGAATTTTGGACCTGATATACGCAGAAAATTGGATTATTTTAAGAAGAAAGGTGTCAAGTCGATTTTTCGACCTAATTCACGTCGATTTTTCGGTTTGATTTAAGTCGATTTTTCAACCGTCCCGTGCATAACACCCTAGAATCACCTTGAATCTAGTCAAAAAATCAACTTCAACCAAGCCGAAAAATCTACTTGAATTCAGCCGGAAATCGACTTGAATCAAGCCAAAATTCGACTTGAATCAAGCCGAAAAAGTGACTTGAATCTAACCAAAGTTGGCCTGATTCAAGTAGAAAAATCGACTTGATTCAGACCGATGTGTCGGTTTGCATTTCTCCGAATCAGGCTTGATTCATGCCGACGATCCGCCATGAAATAAGTCGATTCCCGGCATAATTCAGCCAGACTCGATTCAAACCGTTTTTTCGGTTTGATTCAGGACGATTTTTTTTGTGTACATGTGATGAAAAAGATATAAAATATTTTCCATTAAACATTTTTATTGAAAAAAAAGCACAGAAAAACTGGAATTTTTCAATGAAATCGGCGAAAAATTCATAGCAATTCCTATAGAAATTCAATAGACATTTCTATATAAATTGAATAGATAGTTCTAACGAATTCGTTACGTTTTTCAGTATAACCTTTTTCCGGGCTGTTGCGATGGGGTTTTTTGCTCGTGCGTAGTTGGCAATCCGTGCCGAAGGCGAGGACTAGCCAACCACACGAGTAAAAAAACTCCATCGCAACGGCCCGGGACAAGATTCTACTTTTCGTGTGTGCGGAGATATTCAGAAAGAACTCTACTAAATAAAAAAATTGACTCTGAAATATTTTAAATGCGAAACACTGTAACTTGGGGTGATGTCCA